TTGTGGACCTGAATTTTTTTCAAAAATGACCTTGACTCCCAGGTCGACCCAGACTTGAGTGGGTACCGGTTTTTTCTTTTTCCAATCCTATTATTTTGTTATGCAAACGCCTCCCCCCCCCCCCCAACTGTTACTTATACACCTTCTCTCCCAAAGCTGTATTTCTCAGCTGTATGCGACTAAAAACGCGCTGCTCTAGGATACAAAAAACGTTAGCAGAGACTGTTGAATGAAACACTATCTGGTATCGAAAGAGTTCATCCCCCTCAATAGTAGCTTGCTTTCCATATAAAACTCGACGACACGCCGGCTCAACATTGCAGATACTGAGATACAGATCATCTGTTTCAAAGCAAACGCCAGAACACGCCAGCTTTACGACAATCAGTGTCTACAGTAATAGCGTCAGTAAAACATTGTAGAATAAACAGGGGACCCAGGCCTAAATCCTCAGGTGTTTTTAAATCTTTGTTTTTCTGTCGGGAGCTTGAGATTCAACAGTACACACATGTAACTGATTTGATTTGATTCAAGAACCGACATCACAGCACTCGGGGCATTCCCATAAGCGCTCCGTCTCCATCTTCAGCAGCCAGCAAAGAGTTCCGATACTAATGGTGCTAGTAGCATTCTGATTAAACGTCCGTCTTGCCTTTCCTCTGAGCCTCGAGCATCTGCCAGAACCTATCGTCACTCTCGCTGCATCAATCTCATCAGACTGTGGTGATCCATCTGCTCCTCCAAACTTTACACGCTCAGAACAGACAGGAAACTATGGCGGTAGGACTGGATCTCGAGAATGCTTATAACAGAGTGAGATAGGACATGTAATTGTAAATGACTCACAGAGTGTATTGAGAGGTGGAGTCAGACATGCTCTGTGCAGAGCGGAAAACATCGCTTCAGAGGTCCTTGGTAGTTAGCATCCTTTGTATATTTTCTCCAGGTGATGCCGGTGTGTTGGGGAACGAGGAGTTAGATGGACTGGTTGATTCTGCGCCACTTGATGGTGAAATGATGTATGACAAGCTAGATGTTGTGGGGGCCCTTTGGGAGCGAGTGAACAGTGAGGAGGCACAGATAGATCATTACAGTTTAAGGGAAATGGCGCTGCGAGGAGTTACCAGAGAATCTGGTCGATGCTTAACACTCAGGGGTTAAGGCGAGACGGATGTGCAACCAGACAGTTACTGGTGCCATCGGAATTGGAACTCTTCGCTTGCTGCTGAAGATGGAGACGGAGCGCTTATGCGAGTGTCTCGAGTGCTGTGATGTCAATTTTTTATTCAACATTCAACATATGTCGAGAGCAAAACAAAAATCCTAACCGGTACAGTCCGCGGGGACTGCATTAGCCATGCGGCCTTAATTAAATTAGCAGACGCTAAGACCTTTATACAACGAAAATGGTCGCTACAGGCAGTCCTGGCTACCAGAGCTTGCCAGTAGACGACAAAAAGCGTTTGGTGGAGAGCTTAAGTATTCGGCTCAAACATCATGGTAAGAGTAGCGTACTCCTGTAGTGTTCGAAGTTTGCTATAGGAGTTGAAATAACAAATACTAGCCTCTAGACAGCTTGTTCACACAGCTTTGACAATCGGTAGGTGTGTCAGTCAGCTACAGTTACTAGATGTGTGTACAGCTGATTCTCGAGCCATCGAAAGGCAGCAGTGACTGCCTCTACCTTTATTCTCAGACTAGATGTTATGATATCATATGTCAGTAAACTTAGCTCCACCTAGGGCTGGCTTCATGCAGTAGGTGCTTCTCGTCTACATCTATTCTAAGATGTGACTTTGCTTGCAGAACTGTTGAGCCTATCTGCAATAGAATACAGTATAAGTATGTCTTGCATACATACTACCAGGGTATTTTATCTCTTATACATTCAAGAATTATCCCCATGGCGTCATTCTGTATGTGTTCAAGTTTCATCAGCTGACTCTTTGATATGGTAAGCATTCACAAGTCCCTAATCTATCACCGACAAGATCTCATGCTGGATTATTGTGAACATAATTCTTTGTTCCAAGTCAATTTCTGGCATAATCTTGAGAGCGTGTTCGACTAGCTCTTACAATTATATTGTCCAGAGAGCCCAATAAAACAGCCGAATTTTCTCGGTTGATGACGGCATCCACCTCTGCACGCAAGTCAGTTCCTTTGTCTACAGTTGCTCTTGAGCCGAATGTTGCCTATCTTTCCCTTGCTTATATGCCAGAATATCATCTGAAAATATCAAAATCCATTAAAATCTTCCCCACGCCAGGTGCTTCTAGTTCTGCAGTCTTCTTCGTATAAATATCGAAGAGCAGTGGTGAAATGGTTTGCCCACTTAAGAGAGAATGCTTTGTGACACCATACCATACAAAGCATACATGGAAAGAGAAGAAGGACGTAAAGCACGGGGTAGACCAAGAACAAGATGGACGGATAACATCAGAGAAACTCTACAACAGCACGATGTGCCTATGGTCGAGGCAGCCAGAAGAGCTAGAAACAGAACCTTATATCTTCCTCGACACCCACAGCGGTAAAAGAGGAAGTGAAGAAGAAGAAGAAGTGGTGAAACTGGCAGATAACTGTGGCAGTCCTGGGGTGATATTGCACGGCTCTGAAATCCATCCATCCATCCATTTATAAAAACAAAACAAAAATTGTCTGCTTTTAAACCTACTGAGGGCAGTTTCGGCTATAATTGTGGTCTGATTTCTTTGTGCCAGGTATGTTGGCTAAGAAATGTTAATTACACCAAAATGAGTGGCTTGGACCGGAATTCTAGTATCTTGTGAGGGTTTTTAAGGCAGAGGTGGCGGTGGGTTGGTGTGTACAATTATCAGTACTCCCGTGCTGTTGATCTCTAGTGCTGATAGAAGATTGTTGAGAGGGTGGGGGCTGTTGTGCACGAGTATAACCCCCACCCCCACGCCCACGCCATTGAACTCTAGTGCTGATAGAAGTTTGTTGAGAGGGTGGGGGCTGTTGTGCACGAGTATAACCCCCACCCTCACCCCCACGCCATTGAACTCTAGTGCTGATAGAAGTTTGTTGAGAGGGTGGGGGCTGTTGTGCACGAGTATAACCCCCACCCCCACCCCCACGCCATTGATCTCTAGTGCTGATAGAAGATTGTTGAGAGGGTGGGGGCTGTTGTGCACGAGTATAACCCCCACCCCCACCCCCACCACCACGCCATTGAACTCTAGTGCTGATAGAAGTTTGTTGAGAGGGTGGCGAGAGCTGGGCTGTTGTGCACGAGTATAACCCCCACCACCACGCCATTGAACTCTAGTGCTGATAGAAGTTTGTTGAGAGGGTGGCGAGAGCTGGGCTGTTGTGCACGAGTATAACCCCCACCCTCACCCCCACGCCATTGAACTCTAGTGCTGATAGAAGTTTGTTGAGAGGGTGGGGGGGGGGGGCTGTTGTGCACGAGTATAACCCCCACCCCCACGCCATTGAACTCTAGTGCTGATAGAAGTTTGTTGAGAGGGTGGCGAGAGCTGGGCTGGTGTGCACGACTATCACAACTTCCGTGCTTTTGAACACAAGTGTTGAGAGAAGATTGCTGGCGGTGTGAGAGGGGGTGGTGCTGGTGGTATCGAGGGCTGGGCTAGTGTGCACGAGTATCAGAACTCCCGTGATATTGAACTCTAGTGCTCAGAGAAGATTGCTGAGGAGGAAGGGGAAAGGAGGCTCGTGTCTACAAGTAACCACAAGTGAAAGAATTCTCGTGCTATTAACTCTGTGGAAATACATTTTTTTGGTGGAATGATAGTGTGATTGAACTGATAGTGGTTTGGTTATATGTGCAGTTGTATAATACAACAGTGCAAGCCAATTAACAGTCATGTCATGGCTCCCCCCTTTTCCCTCCTGGTTTTGAAGAAAAAAAAATGATCAGGCTCAACCAGCATCCCCGAAGGAAGAGCTTTAGGTTATAATTGTGACTATGGTATGTGCGTCACACAAAATGTTTTAGCACTGCACGCCACGAAGGGCTATGAAAAGGACTCCTACAGTGTTGATGTGATCAAAGAAGACAGACCCAAATACTGTCCGACTGGCGACGAAGTCGTCTACCGGCGGGCCAATGGGCGACCCGGTCGCCGATGATGAAGGACTACTGCTCCGTTCTGTTCCGTTTTATAAACCTGCTGTTAGCTAGCCGAAGCTGCAACAATCTCCGGTTATATTTGTGGTCTGGTTTATTTGCAACACTTTCGTAACTAAGGTTCTGGTGTGTGCGTCTGGCTAAATGTCCCTGTCCTCACAGGCAGACTGCGCCTTTCTACCTTGGTCCTCGTGTATTCCTTTTATCTATGCCGTCCTGGAGTTTTCATTCCTGGGTCATCCTGCGTCAGGTTCAGTTTCCTTACTATCTTACCCTTGTGTTCTTTCGTCAGCGTCTGTGGCTTAGGCGTTACAAAGGCATTTTGTAATGCCGGGGTGCTGGGTTCGATCCCAGCTGCGAGTCTTGTGCCTTGCGTTGTTTTCGACAGTGATATTGTGAAACTGACCGTCGAGAAAGCAATGTCAAACTATTGAACGTAAATTTGCTAAGAAAAATCACAACAGCCAAAAAATGCTGTGGTTGGTTCTGCAACGTCCTGTGAAGGATGCACAACTAACTTTGTGTGTCCTTTCTGGTGAATCCGATTCTGTTTCTCCCTTTTTTGGCCAGGCTACTCGGACTACCGCCCGGTCCGTTATAGCACCACGTTCAATCTCCCGTCAGCTAGCCCACAACCTTCTGTATTTATTCATTGAGCCCAACCGTGGCTAGCCCACGACCAGCTCCAGCTAACGGGCCGTGCTGCTGGTCGTGGCTAGCTAGTTTGGCCATGGCTAGCTTAAGCTACCGCCACCACTACTGGATATTTATACACCGTGGGTGTTTTCCCAACCCCTCATTTCCCGGCGCTATATTTAGCGCTGGTGGTGGTTGATCCGGAAGCTTTCACTTTGACGTCTGCAGGGGAGGGGTCAGGTTGTCAAACATGGCGGAGACGGTAGTGTCGTGTTGTATCAACGAGCATGAGAAACGCCAGAGAAACAGAAGTAGGGAAATCGATCGAAAACTTAATAAAGATAGATTAACTTTCAGACGAACTGTGCGAGTACTCTTGTTAGGTGCCGGTGAAAGCGGGAAGAGTACATTTCTGAAGCAAATGCGAATTATTCATGGGCAGGATTTCGACGAGGAACAAGTGCGAGAATACAGAACTATTATTTACAGTAATATTTTGAAAGGAATGAGGGTACTTATTGATGCTAGACAAAAGCTCAGTATACCGTGGGGTGATGAATCGATTACAAAGGACGCCTCAAAAGTTTTTGATTTTAACGGTGGTTCGAAATTGGATCATACAGCGTTCTGTGATTTTGTGGATCCGCTGAAAAGATTGTGGAAGGATAAGGGAATTATCACGGCATTTGACAGAAGACGGGAGTTTCAGTTGGTAAGTAAAGTAGTTTATTGTATTATATAAAAGATTGTTACCATTTTTTAAAAACATTTTTTTATATAATAAACTTATGCCAAAAAAAAAAAAAAAAACTACATAATGATATAATTTACTAAATTTTAATAATAATAAGTTGTAAGTTTCTTCTCATATAAGTTCTGTCCATGGCTTTTGTGTTATAACTGGGATATATATGTGTGGATGTATGTGTGTGTGTGTATATATATATAAATACACACACACACACACATATATATATATATATATATATATATATATATATATATATATATATATATATATACTTTTTAAAAAAAATGACCTTGACTCCCAGGTAGACGCCGGGCTTGAATGGGTACCAGGCGTTGTCGTGGTAAGTAAAGGCGGCCGGCGTAATGCTGACCAAATTACCCACGAAGTGCCGAATGGTCTATAAAAATATAGGTCTAGCCCTATTTTCCAAAAACGCCTAAAAGCGTGGAAAAGGGTCCTTCACTTTGCTTACGTTATATATATATATATATATATATATATATATATATATATATATATATATATCTTTTTTACGTATCCAGAAACCATGAGTTGGCTCGGTACTATGGATATCGCAACCCTTAGGCCTTGATTCCATTATAGGTACCGTTAATCTGGGAGAAATGTGGCTTTTCTGCCTACCCCCGGGAGTGAACCCGGACCAGAAGGAGTTCGTCACCCGGCCGCCGCGAACGTCAGGTTTAACCAACTTCGCTAGAGAGCCGGGCATACGTTATTTATATATATATATATATATATATATATATATATATATATATATATATATATATATATATAAATATATATATATATATATATATATATATATATATATATATATATATATATATATATATATATATAAGCCCTCCCTCCCTTTCCAGGATTACAGTCTGTAGGATTAACATCTCAAGGGTGATAATCAAACAGGTACAAATATATGAAACCCCGTTCAACCGTATGGTCATATAGCACAGTTGTATCAGGGCACTACGAATTGGTTACCAAATAACCTGTAGTCTAGTGTGAGTGGGTTTTGATGTTGAATTAAGCACTCGGGACACTCCCATTAGTGTTCCGTCCCCATCTTCAGCAGCAAGCGAAGAGTTCCAATTCCGATGGCACCAATAACCGTCTGATTGTATATCCCTCTCGCCCTTTCCCTGAGTGTTGAGCGCCGGCCAGATCCTCTGTTAACTCCTTGCAGCGTCGTCTCCTTAGACCGTAATGATCTATCAGCTCCTCCGCACTGTTCCCTCGTTCTCAAAGGGCCCTCACAAAGTCTAGCTTGTCATACATCAATTCACCATCGTTTTTGTCTTTTTAGATACTAGGTTTCTGTGTTTTGTAAACATTGTGGCTGTTTTATATGGCTGAGATTATATGTAAATTTTACTTTAAACCTTCACACTTCAAACACTTGAAGGTTGTGTGGCCAGATGTTAGTTTTCAAGAAGTACCTGCACTTATAAGAAAGTAAAACCTATTTTATTGCCCCATCGCAACACGTTTGGGTTGGGCTTTCACACATTTTAGGCCACAACATAATGATTGGGGAGGTGGGGGGTGGTTGTGGTGTTGTAAAGTCAGGTATTACTCGGTGCGGATACTTTCCTGTCACTCCCACTGGCATTGCAAAGTCAGAAGGTACCCGGTGCGGAAAAGTTTATGTCACCTCACACACACACACTCCCTCAAACACTGTAAGGTTCTTTTTTTTTTTTTTTTAATTTTATTTCACCCCCCGTCGGGGACTGCGAGATTAGGGAATTCCCAGGAAATCCCAATAGTTAGGGGTGTTAGGATGGGAAATAAACACCCACTGACCCTAACCGTATTCCTGTACACCCCCTCCCCTCCCCCCTCATAATATAGGACTTATGCCTGAGGGATGCACGCCATCCAAAACGGTCATTCATGTGCAGCAGCCTCCCATGTTACTGTTCTGATGCCGAAGGAGTTGAGAGCCGTTTTAAGAGTAAAGTATAAGATTCAGTCTCATACTGTTTATGTAGAGAGAAAAAAATAGAGTAAAGGTCCCTTTTAAACGTCTTTTGGCGCATTGGAAATATAGGGCTAAACCTATATTTTTATAGACCAATCGGCACTTGGTTGGTATGTGGTCAGTATCACGCCGGCCGCCTTTACTTCACAGGACTGTAACTGTTTATGTATGTTTAAAACGCAGAGTCGCTGGGCCATTCATTGATTAACCGTTGGCTGTATGATCAGGTCTTTGCAGTTCTGGCTTTCAGATGCGCTTGCCTTTTTTTATTTCTTGTTTAAGACCCCTCCAATCAGCCACATTTTGACTCCCGGTCTTTTTTGCTTCCCCCATCTTTTCTTTCCATGTTCTGAGCCCTGTAGTATGGTATACTTTAACAGTACAGTTGTATTAAAATAAATGAATCCCAGTGCCTATCACTAGTAACATATCTTAAAGTAATGAAATGTATATGACAAGTTGAGGAAAAACAAAGCAACACTGTAACCTACTCTCACGTCGTATGAGGCAACCGTACGGGGTGGTCAGAGTCAGACTAACTGTCTGTCACGTCGTATGAGGCAACCGTACGGGGTCGTCAGAGTGAGACTGACTGTCACGTCGTATGAGGCAACCGTACGGGGTGGTCAGAGTCAGACTAACTGTCTGTCACGTCGTATGAGGCAACCGTATGGGGTGGTCAGAGTGAGACTGACTGTCACGACGTATGAGGCAACCGTATGGGGTGGTCAGAGTGAGACTGACTGTCACGTCGTATGAGGCAACCGTACGGGGTGGTCAGAGTGAGACTGACTGTCTGTCACGTCGTATGAGGCTATCGTATGGGGTGGTCAGAGTGAGACTGACTGTCTGTCACGTCGAATGAGGCAACCGTACGGGGTGGTCAGAGTGAGACTGACTGTCTGTCACGTCGTATGAAGCTACCGTACGGGGTGGTCAGAGTGAGACTGACTGTCTGTCACGTCGCATGAGGCAACCGTATGGGGTGGTCAGAGTAAGACTGACTGTCTGTCACGTCGTATAAGGCAACCGTGTGGGGTGGTCAGAGTGAGGCTGATTGTCTGTCACGTCGTATGAGGCAACCGTGTGGGGTGGTCAGAGTGAGGCTGATTGTCTGTCACGTCGTATGAGGCAACCGTACAGGATGGTCAGAGTAAGACTGACTGTCTGTCACGTCGTATGAGGCAACCGTATGGGGTGGTCAGAGTAAGACTGACTGTCTGTCACGTCGTAAGAGTCTACCGTATGGGGTGGTCAGAGTGAGACTGACTGTCACGTCGTATGAGGCAACCGAATGGGGTGGTCAGAGTGAGACTGACTGTCTGTCACGTCGTATGAGGCTACCGTGTGGGTTGGTCAGAGTGAGACTGACTGTCACGTCGTATGAGGCAACCGTTTGGGGTGGTCAGAGTGAGACTGACTGTCTGTCACGTCGTATGAGGCAACCGTATGGGGTGGTCAGAGTGAGACTGACTGTCACGACGTATGAGGCAACCGTATGGGGTGGTCAGAGTGAGACTGACTGTCTGTCACGTCGAATGAGGCTACCGTATGGGGTGGTCAGAGTGAGACTGACTGTCACGTCGTATGAGGTAACCGTGTAGGGTGGTCAGAGTGAGAATGACTGACTGTCACGTCGTATGAGGCTACCGTATGGGGTGGTCAGAGTGAGACTGACTGTCACATACCGTGAAGAATTTTACTATTAAAATCCAAGACATGAATGTACTGCTGGAAAAGGAGGGGGGGGGGCGAAGACCCATGCAAAGTGTACAGCCGTACATTTTGACCAGGATCTGTATCAACTACTAAAACAAGAAGCCCCAGCCTTAATATAGTCCACATGAGGGCAAACGGAGAAGAGAAGGTACTGAAATAGAACCTTAAGGAATGGACAAGACCTAGTACTTCCATATGTGTGCTTGTTGTCGACAACCCTGGCTGCTGATACTTCCATAATGATAGTGCTCTCACCCATGAATGTGGGATGAAATGATGGCTGTGTTCGTTAAGTAGTGTTCTTCAACATGCCGATTGTCGCACTGGCTGATGTCTCTTAACCCTTGTGAGAGGAGGAGCCATACAATAGCCACCAGTCTAGCTATCCAAGACACAGTGAGAAACGATACCGATTATAGTAGCATCTTGTGTCAGATAAACTGAGAGAAGCCGATGGTCACATAGTTTAAGCACCTTGTGGGAATGCAGCAACCGTTACCATCTGAGAGGAGCTTATACGTAAGCTAGTGGACAATATATAACAGCCGTTCTCAGCCTGTGGGTCGCAACCCTTGTGGAAGGTCGAACGACCCTTTCACACGGGTCGCTTGAGACCATCGGAAAATACGTATTCACCGAAGTTGTGAAGTAGCAAAGAAAATAATTTATGGTTTGGGGTCACCACAACGTATTGAACTGTATTAAAGGGTCACGGCATTACTAAGGCTGAGAACCAATGATATAGAAGAAGATGAATCTGCGACATTAAAGGACGTTAAGAATCCACGCCTAATGACAGTAGCCAGTGCTACCCATTGAGCACTTGACCACCGAGTATTCCTTCCCACCCACCCCTCCCCCTTTTTCCTCCCTCACGTGTGACGGCGAATGTGGAAGATTATGATAATGTCTCCTTTGCTTCTGTGTATACATACTAAGGAAAAAAAAAAAAAAAACAGCTATTAACATATGGGTGTATCTTTGTAACTTCTTATATTCTTCTTTTATCGTCTCACTGATACCAGTTTGCAGCCCAGTGTCGTGGTCTTCTGTATTTGTCTTGAGCTTCTCGGGTGGCTTAGGTGATTGATTTGTTCATCTTTATTTTTTTGTTGTTGCAGGTTTCTTCTACAGTTTTTATACGTATCTTTCTTGGCCTTCCTCTCACCTTCATCCCAGATGTTCCGCTGTAAAAATTCTCATATGCAGTTTGATATCTTTGTATCAAATGTATTAG